CTTTATAGTGACATATGTATGTATATGTGTGTGTGTGTGTGTGTGTGTGTGTGTGTGTGTGTGTATAATCTTTAACCCTGATTGCCACTCATTAACTGTGCAAGTTCAAGATTTAGGATTTTGTTGCATATTCTATGGCTAGGTTGCATGCTCCAAAAACACACAAATGATTGAGAAGTTAAAATGTGCCCAAGTGTTAGAATAACACATTTTTTATTTTAAATCTAGAGATTCACTTAGTGTAATATATATATATTCAACTGTGAGGAAAACCACATACAATCCCTGTCCCCACCAAACTTACAGGGAGACAGACAAGCCAGTAAGTACACAGATGCATGTGAACTGCTACTGTGGCAGTTTTTACGACTTAGCATGAGTGTTTATAACAGGGGATTTGACTCTGGGAAGACAGGGAAATCGTCACTAAAACACTAAAAGTTCAGTGATGACTGAACTTTTAGGATTAAATTCCCATTAAATTGGTAAAAGGAGAGGAGGAGCATTTCCAAGCAATGAAAACACTTGCTAAAGAGGCAACATGATAAACAAAGTAGCTTAGGAAGACAGCTAAGCTATAAGGGGGCAGAGAGATCGAAAGGGGCTGTGGTGTGAGGTGAGCAGGGAGTGACCTGACAATGCAGGTCCTATATATAGGCTTTGATAAGTGTTTTGCATTTATCCTAAAAGCAATGGGAAACCATTGAAGGGTTTCAAGCAGAAAAATGGCGTGATTAGATTTTTCTTTAGAAAAGATTGCTTTGGCTGAATATGGAAGGAAGGTTTGTAGAGAGCAGAGTGAATGCAGGCAGAGCAGTTAGGCTGTTACAGTGGTGACGTGGAGGAATAATCGTAGTGTGGGCTAAGGTGATGGTGCTGGAGTGGGGAGAAGTAGATATATGAGTTCCTTCCGTGTTGTCTTGAGGAAGCAATGACCCATCTTGGTGGTGTACTGGATATAGATGGTGAGCAGAGGGAAATGGCAAGAATGACTACAGAATTTCTGGCTCTTGCACCTGGTTGGGTGGTGATTCTAGTTGTTGAAGTAGGGAACCCTGGAAGATGGCTGGGCCTGTGAGGAGGAGCAGGAATTGAGCTTACACAGTTCAAGGCTTCCAAGGGGATATGCCAAGAAAGGAGTAAGGGTAAGAAGAAAAGAACGACTAGATAGAAACTTGAGGGATTAGCATTTTATGGCTAGCTGTCAGACGATGTGTGCACAGGTGATTGTGAAGAAGTAACCAGAGCAGTAAGAGAAGAAACCAGGAATTTGTTTTATTAAAGGCAAGAGGGGGCAGGGTNATATATATATATATATATATATATATATGTACTTTCAAAATAGAGAATACATTTCTTGTCAAGTGCTCTTAAAATATTCACAAGAATGACTATATGTTTGGCCACTAAAAGGCCTGGTAGAGACAGTTTCACAGTGTCTGTTAAAATTACAAGTGCATATACCTTTTGATCCAGAAATTTCTCTTTTAGAAATTGATTATTTAAATGTACTCTCATAAATATGAAATGACCTTTGTACAAAGTTACCTATTTTACAAGTCATTGTTGAATATTTTATATAGTAAAATATTAAGAATAAAATATTGAGAAGACCTAAATATCTATCAACAGATCTGGTTAAATAAACTATTGTATAACAATACATTCAGATACAATGCAGCTGGAAAAGGGAATGAAGAAGCTTTTTAAGTACTAACCGAAAAAGATCTCGAGGCTATATATCCTTAAGTGAAAAAGCAAGGTGCAGATTGTATATAATATACTACTATTTCCCCTTACCTCAAAAAAGTGGGGGAAATTTATTGACATATGCTTGTATACAATGTATAAGCAAATCTCTGGAAAGATAAAGAAAAAAGTAGCAACAGTGGTTACTTGTTAGTGGAATGTGAACTGGACAGGTGGAGAATGGAGTAGTAAGGAGGCTTTTAAAAATATACTTTAAAAATGTATGTTGTTCCATGTGACTATATTATCTTTATAAACATCTACAAAGAAATAATGCCATAAAAGCATAGAAGATAAAGCAATGCATTCTTCTTGGGGAATTGGGGGATGCATTCAGAGTGGGTAATATTTGAACTGAGACTTGAAGGATGAGCGAAGTTCGACAAATGGAGAAGATTGGCAAAATCATTCCAGGAC